AATCATTTAATTCCAGCCTTTTAGAAAAGTTCCAATGTACTTCAAGATTGCTGTTATGGCGCCCTTCCCGAGTAAGAAACTTTTGCGACTTTTGTGCTTTCAAGTGTAGCGACTAAATTGCATCTGTTGCATCAAGAACAGCACATTAATCTGCTTCCAGGAGACAGGGAGGAATTGGGGAGCGGAATGGAATAGGGGGAGATGGGGTATAGAGGGGGGAGTGGGCAGGGAGGAGACGGGCGTGTCAGGAACGGGTAGGGAGGGATTGGATGGAAAGAGGAAGGGTTCGGAGGGGTGGGTGAGTCCCAGGGTTGGTGGGGATAGGCGCGATTCGCGGGCTGGGTGGAGTGGTGTGGGGCAGGGGAGAAAGGTTGGGAGGGATCGGGGGGGTTTGGGGCGGTATGGAATAGCTTGAGACGGGACGGAAAGAGTTGGGACGGTGTGGGACGAACTTGGACGTGTGGACGGCGTGGGACGGGTTGGGACTGGGTATGACGGTGGGGAAAGGGCTCGACGGGGTGGGACGGCAGTGGGGATAAGGACATTGTGGCAAATGGGACCGCGGATTGTAGCTACTTTTGCTTGCAACGCCTCTCGCCTGCTGCTCGCGGTTAAATTCCCCAAGTCGACCTTTGGCCTCTGCCGGGCCTCAGCCAGCGCCGCTGTTGCAGGGATACCTACTCACACGTACAAATTTAGAGTAAGCACTAATGTTCGCAACTGGTGTAGAATGGACGTGAGATATGAAAATAAGATTAGAAATATTTCATAAATATAAGAGAACAACGAAGGTAGTAAATTTGGAAACTGGTTCAGAAGAACTAAAACAGAGACCAGTGACTACGGATTGATATAGTGGTATGTGAATTAGATGAAATTTCTTCGATCGTCGTTGCGTGAGGAAATGTGCCAACGTAAGTGAATATTCCCTAAAATCGTATCAACAGCATTATCAATAGAAATGACCGTATCATTGTCCTTCTTTATCCAGAAGATGAAAAACACTTTCATACCAGTCTTCAAAGATGGGAAGAAGCTAGTAGAAGCGTCCGCACATCGTAAGTCGAAAACTCGAATACATGAGAAGTTTAATATCCAATAAATTATCTTATTTACTTGCAATCAATGTTTAAAAAGTTGCCAACGCAAATCAATAGGAACCATTTCATTGTAATGATTGACTCTGCTGACGTTCTCTATCAACTGTTTGTTGAAATAAATAAGTCACCGAGTTTAGTAAAGCTTTAACAATATGTACTCTTAAATTATTAAATTAGTTTTGAAACAACCCCTCGGGCGGCTCATGGACAACCTGCTACTTTAATTTTCTTTAAGTTGCCGATGACATTAGGTCATTGTTACACCTCCTGCCTTATAAAATGAGTCCTTTTAACAGTGATAAGCACAGTTATGAGGCTACGACCCCGTTTAGGACCTTTGCGAATGACCTAAAAAATTAATTTTATAAGGCAGGAGAAGTAACATTGTAATGCAATCGGACACTCAAAAAAATCGAAATATAGCTTCCAATGAGACGGTACCGGGTTCCTGACCGGGGAAAACTGATGCTCTACGTTTCTGATACAAATTATCTCAGTTTCTATAGCTGTGTGACAAAAGAAAATTCTCAAGCAGACCAAGTAAGTTGGGTACGGTGGTGGGATATCTCTCATTAAGTATCATTTAATCATGTGTCATTTAGTGTTTTTTTCCTTTTGTTTGTATTTTTGCACCAATTGTTAATGAAGGTGTGAGCTATCAATTAAAAAATTGTTTGACATTAAATTTTGTTTTTTATCAACGGGATGCTAATTTGGACCAAGCGTCAAACACTGCACTTTAAACATCATATTTTGCATCAGTTGCAACCTCGAGGTCTTACAGTTTTGTTATACATCAGTTGTCTATACGACAAATAACCTTCGTTCGGTCACGTGATGCGTTCTTGTTTTGTTCCCGACCGTGAGTTGTATGCTATGTACGTGATTGCAAGTTAATCTAATTGTATTTAAAGTTTATTATTTACTATTTATGGTTCTAACGCTAAAGGAAAATTTAGTTAAGCATTCAACACTGAAGAAAATAAGGCAGTGGTTTCTTATATCTAGACACAGATTCCTTCCGAATGACCGATTTCGGAGATACAGAATGCGCTCTCACACTGCAATAGAGATTTTATACACCACAAAATAACATTAAATGTCATGAAAATACGTTGATCATACGTCTTACAGATCATGAAATGAAACCTGAACATTTTAAGAGTATTGATCATATTGAAAAGAAAATAGTAAATCACACAGTCAATTTTCGAAACGAAAAATTAAACTGGCTGAAAGTGAAAGAGATATAACTCTTAAAGACAGGCCACTTACTAAAGTGTTCGAAACTGAATTTCATAGTGAACCATTTCATGTTGACATTAAGAAGAAAACAACAAGGTGATCTTCCCAAACGCAAAACACAACTAATTTTCATGCCCTCCTGACACCTCTGTGGCCAAACAGGAAAGCAATTTCTGAAGATTAGCTAAACGATATTCTATCTTTAGTAAACCCGATAGCAAATGTTGCACTAGCATTTTATCGCCAGCTCTCAAGTCTCTCTGATATTGGGAACAACACTGACGGCTTCCACAGCCCGCGCCCTGATTTGGTTGATGATGGTCAAATTAAGGAATATTATGTATTTTTAATGTATGTATTCATTTTTCATGTATTCACGTGTTTTCATTCAAGTGTTTAGTTTCAATTCCCAGAAACCGTATACTTATATTCATGATTTGTAAGAGTTTTTATTATAATATTGTCACTTATTATTATTGTTATTATTATTATTTCTTTCCAGCAATGTTTGTAATTTTGCGCTAAAAAGATTTCCTAATTTTCTTAATCATATAAGGAGGGTTTTTTACAAGTCATATAACAAGTTGTTACTTCAACGAAACGGCAAAGATATTGTGAGAACATTCAATAGTAATGCTGTTTTCGTATATATCAGTTTACGTATATATCAGTTTACGTATATATCAGTTTACGTATATATCAGTTAATTACGAATAAATATATTATACGCTAGTACAATCTTATCATACCTTGTAAAATATTACAACAAGAAATTACTTCTCTATTTTAAATCACTTGACCAAGAGACATGTTTTATCTTGGAGTTAGGTAATGCAAAACTCGGATATGAAATTTATTTATTAAAGTATACAAAATGACCAAGCGTCATTTCTGCATAAATGCAAAGTTTCGCTATATCTTTTGTGTTTTTAAGATATGAGCATGTAAATTTAATTCATTTGGATGATTTTGCTGTTTTGCTTCCTTAACAACATTTGGGACGTACATGCTGAATTTCTATTAATTCTTTCGCGTTTGCGTTAATATCTCGAAATCAAGTTTTGGTGCTTGGTCAATTGATGTAAAACACCGTTCAAATAAAAACAGGGCTCATGACTGGGAACACCGCTAGCGAGCAAAAAAAGGGATTAATCCGACCCTAAAATGACAATTACTTGCATATATTAAGAAAAAAGACATAAGTAATTATGAAAGGTAATTGTTACCAAAAATAATTATTGAAATTACGATGAAATCTACGAATGACAGATTACATTTATGTCAAACATTTTTACAACAGGACAACCGTCAAAACATGGCGTCCTGGAATACACTTCTTGAAGTAGTTGATGACAATACCAAATATTGGAGAAAACACTACTACACAACCATTGCCAATAAGAGTATCGTATGTATAATTTCAATATGTTGTATGTATACATAGATTCCAATAATTTAAAATTCTACTAATGGCCATGCTTATTAGAATCACATGGTACATTTTATTTGCATTTATTTTTGTTGAAAGAGAAATGAGGCGAGATTTTTGCTTCTCGGGTAAAGCGATCGGAGCACTGCGAGGCGCGGCTGCCCGCAAGAACTTCTCATCTCGGACGACTTCCAGCACAGCAAGGTCGCCGGCGGTGGAGTAACTGGCATTCTAATTCGAACGAATGTGTTGCGCATCGCACGACTCGTATGTTTTTGGAATGTGTGTTCGTGTGTATCATTTTAAGTGCGTGGGCGGTGAAGTATGCAGGCGAAAATAAAGGATTATTTTAAAACTCTTTTATATCACTTCTGTGTTGTATTTCGAATTCACAAAGTAGATAACAAAGGAATGATTACGAGAATGGCAACTAAACTCAATTTCTCAGTGGATTCATCTCGATATATCCTCGAGCAGTTATTCCAAAGTACAGTGTAAATAGAAGTTATTTTTCATCACTTGACATTTGCTAAGTCAAGTGTTATTTCGTGGATTCCCCATGGATATTGGAATATATTTTATGAATCGAATGAATACTTGTAATGATTTAAAATCTTTAGCTTATACCCAAATTACACGATTATTATTTTCTAAAACGGAAATTCTCTCTAAAATTGATATTCATAGTAAGTAATTTCCAATTTCATTTAATAAATCAATTTCAATTCCGTCAATAATTTGTATAATTAGCAATCTTTTTACATGTCATGCAGATTGTTTTGGGAAAAATCAAAAAATATAATATTTCAAAAACCTGTTCTATAGAAGCGCTTGCTTGACAGAAAAATGCAATGAAATGAATTTCTCATTCCACTTAACACAAATTCCAACATATACTCGTAATCCACTAGAAAGTATCACTGCAAAAGGTTTTAACACGTTAGTTCTACACGACTGCCACTTTCAGGAAACCCTTCATAACATTTTGTCAAGTTTCGTTTCTGGAGTCTGAAACTGAACGAGTATGAAAAACGTCTGTAGATGTATTCAGGACACAGAAATATGTCTCTATTTGATTCCGCAGTCCAATAATGGTCAAGTCCTGAACGCAAAAAGAATAGATCTCAAGAAGGCATTGATAACAGAACATTCACATCTTCTGCAACAAGGAAAACTTCACCAAAGTAAAAGACAAGGAAAAGGTGCGTCTTTCTTCTCTTACCTTTGCTTGACGTCTGCATTCAGCAACTTCATAGCTGATCTTCGCTTCTGTTTATGCTGCTACTTCCAACTTTTCGGCTGCTGTTGCTGGGAACTCACATCACAGACAATTCTTGATCATATGAATCGGAGATAACTAAAAAGAAGAAAAACGTATTTCCAATAAGTGGATGTAAAATTGTGTGATAAACAATGCAATGCAATTGGAGGCCTTTAATAAATACTCTTGTAAGAACTAGTGAAAATCGATTTCTGTGCTAAAGTAAGTTGGCCGGTATTATTCGATATTTTATGGAACTTACTGATTTGTTATATTTATTTTCATTGCATCAATATTATACCGGCTGGCATAACTCTTATAAAGAAACTGTTTAAATCATTATTATCCTGAAAGTTATGTTTTATAACAAAGTATTTGGCATATCTACATTTGATCAGTTTTGATGAAAACAGTACATTAACATTTAATTCCTTAGCAGTAGATTTTAATATTTTATACTACATAACAATAGACCTGAATTTCTATTTGAAATAACTTTGCTTTTAATAATAATAAATAAGTATAAATCATTTGTGAGACAACATTAACTTTATCTTGTCTCCCTTAAAATGTAGTTTATGCATCCTGTTCTGTATTTAACCAAAGAAGATAACATCACTTTATTGTGTCAAAAAATGAAAAGTAAATAATTAGGAAAAAATAGCTAACAAAAAACGAAACGGCATTTCCAATAGTAATTGGCGTATGAATCCCGTTTCTGAGAATACATCAATAGTATAAATCATTCTCAAAAATTGTCTGAAGATACAGAATTTATAGATATTTACACATTGTTTCGTTTCCAAAAATGTAATTTTTATTTACGGGAAATGGCAAAAATGAAAAGTAATCATTGGCATTTCCTTGTATTGAAAATGTTCTCTCTTAATCTGAGAAATAACCAAAATCTTACATGTAATAAATTCAGGTTATTAAGGTGACTGGCGGCAGTGCTGACACTGTAATTTGGTACAAACACGCAAGTGAAGGAAGGAGAGCGACAAAAACTTCAGTAATTTTCAGCTTACATCAGTCCTCACTTTCTGAAAAGCCATGCCACTTGTAGTTAACACTCCAAAAAATATACCAAAAAAAATTATGTAATGTAATTTACATAAGTTTTCAAATAATTTACCGAAATAAAACAGTAGGCTAATTTAGAATGTGTGTGTGTTTGTGACGGGAGACGAACGTCCCTTTACCATCCTAAAGACAACGCAATTTCTTACAGATCTGCTAACTTCCCAATGATAATGAAAGCACTGGCTTCCGCGGCCGGAGTCACCACAGTGATAATAGAGGGGTAATTTGAAAGTTTAATCAAACAATATGAATTGAATGTATTAGTGTATAGTAATTCGTTAGAAGAGTTGCTACAATTACAAAACGAGAAAATTGAGTTCCATAATTTGTATTACCATTCACGAATACGTACCAGAAATTATGGATACATGCTTAATATATATTAGACGTGGATAATCTGATAGTAATCTAATCTAGTATGATGCTTGCACGTACAAGTGGCAAAACGTTCTAATAGAAAGTTATTGCCACGCGTGCATTTACAATTTGCTTCGCTGCTATAACGTGGTCTACAACTAGGTAGCCAAGTTACTAGTTGCCTAGTTATCGAGCACGGCTAGTATTAATGTCCTAACGTTCAAGTTGTCTTAAAATTTGATTTAAAAAATGTAACCTTAGCCTGCGAGATTTACAGGTCCCTCATTATCTTTTTAACTTACGTAATAATAAATTGAGGAGTGTAAAACATTAATTTTGCAAAGCATTTGACTATTATGATGAACTCCACATACCGGTTTATCTAAAAGTATATACGACGCATATTTGGGTTACAAATACTAAAACAACATTTATCACTGTAATTAAAATTTTAAAATTATGTTGGACTACGTAAATCTTTATCAGCTTTTCCGCCCCGCACGCACAGACTTAACTAAGTCGGTACAAGTGCAAAGGCAAGCCACACGTCGGGCGTTACAGCAACGCGGCACCTGTTATACGGCGCGTCTGCGCGGGTGCCAGAGCAGTGGCGAGATTGCGTCTCGCGCGGCTCAAAAATAGGCGCTCTTTGGCCCCGCGAGGAGGAAGCCTCTCCCAAAGAGCAAGGAGGCGTCGCTCCCAACGCGCGGCGGCGTGAGAAAGGTCCGGGCGGATTTACGGCAGTCGGTCGCGGCGCTTGGGGAGCCCGGACGCTGCCCAAAGCCACCGCAGAACCCCGCCCCCCACCCCGTCCCCGACCTAGCGCACGCCCCTCGCACCCGACCTCCGCGCCACGACCCAACGCGCCAGCCGCCCCCTCCTTCACGCGCCCCCGCGTCCGCCCCCTCCCCCCCTGCCCCGCGCGCTCGCCCATACCCGCCCCTCGCGACAAAACCTCTCAGGCAGCCTTGCGCGGCCGTCCCCGTGCCCGTCCCCTCGCCTATCGTCGCGCCCGTCCCCGCGTCTGTCCCCACATCTGTCCCCCGAGTCCGTCCACGCGCCCGTCCTCGCGCCCTTCCCCCTGCCCGTCCCCATCCCGCGTCCCCGTTTCCGCCCTTACCCCGCGCCGCCCCACGCGCCCGTCCTCGTTACCCGTCCCCACCCACGCTCCCACGGCCGTTCCTCGCGCCACCAGTTCCCCGCCGCCCGTCCCTCATCGCCCGTGTCCACATCTGTCCCCGCCAACAGTCCCCGCACATGCCCCCTCACCCGTTCCCGCCGCCCGGCACCACCGTTCCGTTCACCGCGCCCGTGCCTGTGCCCGTTCCTACCCAGCCTCAGGCCCCCCCCCCCCCCTCGCAGTTCCCTCGCCCGTCCCCTCCTCGACAGTCCCCGAGCTCGTCCCCGCGCTGCGATCCCGAACCCGTCCCCGTCCCGTCCCCGCCTCCCGTTCCTGCGCCCGCCTCTTTGCCCGACCCCGACCGTCACACCCAGGTCCCCATCCCCGTCCCCGTCAGTCCCCGTCCCGTCCCCGTCCCCGTCCCCGTCCCCATCCCCATCCCACCCCCGTCAAACCGTCCCCGTCCCCGTCCCCGCCACCTCGCCCGCCCACCGGGTCCGGTCCCAGCGGCCCGCGGTAGCATCCATCTCCGCTTCGCACCGCCTGGCGAGCAGGCCGCCACGCGGCTTCGCGCCCCGCCTTCGTGCCGCAAGTGATTTTAGGGCGACGCCCTGGGTGGGGAAGACGGCCCCAAAATTAATGTTGCGACTCAAATAATATTTTGTTGAAGGTTGGCTTTCACGTTGCTTCTCGGAATGGGCACCGCCAAAGGCGAGAATCTCACTCGGAACATTCCAGGACCGCTTCTTCTGCCAGCGAGTGCGTGCTATTGCGACGTTGAAGTTACACAGTATAAATAGAATGTGAAGGAAATGCTAAACGGAAATGTCTTTTTATGTAAATAATTTTCATATACGACATAAGAATAAACTTACGCGAGCGCATAGGAGGAACATACGATTAACAAGAGCCAGGTGTCGGTAATTCACACATATAGAATGTTTCATCAATAACTTTACTGAAGCTACTTTAATTCAAGGTATTTATAATAGTGATATCTAGTGTTACAACGAATATTCAATAAAATAAAATTCCTAATAGTGATGTCTTAAAGTAATAAGCATTGTTCAGATATGGAAGACTTTGTGATGTCATGAAAAATATGAATTGGACACAAAAATTCCTATAAAACTACAAACATTTTTACAACTAGTGATGCAGCAGAATGGCACAGACTTTCTCGTACTAACTATTTACTTTACTCCTCAGTCTAGGCTATTTTTTCTGCTTTACCTCAGCCATTTCTCAGTTGTTCTCTATAGGCGCCTAACCGTCCGTTCAAGATTTCGGTTCCATAAAGGTAAAATTGAAATATACATTTAGGTGTATTACAGAAGAGTAAAAATCTACTCCGTAATGCAAATTTTCGATGAAAAATGTCATTTAAGTATTTCTAAAAATGCGCATATTGAAGCTCATTTTTACAAACAAACTTTCGAGTTTCCGAGAAACAATTCCAATAATGTTTAAGAAATACCGATAATGCAAATAATAATGACTTGAAAGATATATAAAAATACATTTGTGTATGTTTTGAAAGAAGATAAACCAGAAAAATGGCATTTGTGTCATCTTAGAGTGGATTTAGTACTATTCTTAGAATGTTTTAAAAACTTGATGTATTTTCGAGAAAATGCCGTTTGAAAGTTTAGGCAAAAATTACATGTAAGAAATTTTTGAAAAATCAAGAGAATATAGAAAAATGCTATTTATGTTATCGTATACAGTACATTTAGTACTAACCCTTCCAAAGTTCACAGAAAAAATTGAAGCCATTTTTGCGAAGATCTTATTTCTAATTTTTTAAAATTTTTCCTCTATTTCACTCAAGATCACGGGAAAACTTATATTTTGAAAACTACGTACATGACAAAAAGTTACTGAACTGACTGTGGATAACAAATATCATTTGAAGAAAAAAATCGCTATTCTCAATATTGTAATTGTAGGAAGAACCGAAAAGCTTCCATACTTTCTCAATTTTCAAAAATTCAGAGTTAACAGTGAAAATCAGACCTATGCCATCATTATAAATGTTTTTCGCTCTATTCTTACAAAACATTTTAAGAACAATTTCGAGCTATTTCAGAGAACATTTGAAAATGTCTGAAGAGATTTATTTAAAGTACTCCCAAAATTTAAGTAATGTATTTCAAAGCTTGCAAAGCTCCGAGGCGGGCCAGAACAACCGGGAAATTTTGGAAAGAACCTAGAAATAGTTTTGGTAGCTAGCGTTGTGAACAGACGGACGTTTGATAAAAACACTCTTTAAGTAACAGGGAACGCCAAAACGTGTCTTTCCGTAGACATATCGAGATTATTTTCCGTTACGTAGCTTTCGTCACGTAACTTTCTTTGTACTATATATATTACTCCGTGTATACAAAATACTTACGTATCCGAGAAAGTAAAAATATAGTTTGATAAAAATGATATAGTACATAACTTGTGTAAAAAATGTAGGAATTTAAAAAAAATAATAACCCTATTTGCCGAAATGGACACAAAAACAGTTATTTGCCTTCAAAGGTACTGG